AGCTGGTGGGTCTAATATACATTCACAAATATGGTGATGATATTTATACAATTATTACAGTATTGCATAACAGTAAATCTTCTATTTTTTGGTGTGAATAAAAATTCATTATGTGAATAAAAAATCAAAATGGAATTTATTTGTAAAGCCTCAAAACATAACTAATGAACAGAGGAAATGTTAGTTTAGTGCCAGGAATACCTACATTGTTCATTCTGGACCCTATTTTGAAATTGGAATATTTTGAACTTTGTTAAATTGGCCAAATTAACAATTTCCGATCACTTTATTTTGTAGTTGAAACAGTTGACTTGGCGATTTCTTGTGCTCAATCGATAGAATAGAAGTAAATAGCTAAGTGAAATAGCTAAGAATTTGGTTGATTGGAATAATGTAATTGGCCTAAAATGGGAGTCAAAGTCGGCAAAATCGCCGATTCGTAAATATCGCTGACAAATCAAAATTCGCGAGAGCATAATTTCGTCAATTTTCCACCAAATTTCGTACTTTTTGTTTTATTACCTTCACAAAAAGATTCTCTACGATTTCATAAGAAAAAATAACAAATTTTTTTTTTGAAAATTCTTGGACACTGGTGCGTGACTCCAGATTTGGGCCTTGGACCCTGAAAGGGTTAACAAGTTAAGAAAGCCTAGAGAACAAATGAATTTGTCAGTTAAAAATAGGAGAGGAGAGTTATTAAATGGAGAGTTAGAGGTATTGGGAAGATGGAGGGAATATTTTGAGGAATTGTTAAATGTTGATGAAGATAGGGAAGCTGTGATTTTGTGTATAGGACAAGGAGGAATAACATCTTGTAGGAGTGAGGAAGAGCCAGTTGTGAGTGTGGGGGAAGTTCATGAGGCAGTAGGTAAAATGAAAGGGGGTAAGGCAGCCGGGATTGATGGGATAAAGATAGAAATGTTAAAAGCAGGTGGGGATATAGTTTTGGAGTGGTTGGTGCAATTATTTAATAAATGTATGGAAGAGGGTAAGGTACCTAGGGATTGGCAGAGAGCATGCATAGTTCCTTTGTATAAAGGCAAAGGGGATAAAAGAGAGTGCAAAAATTATAGGGGGATAAGTCTGCTGAGTATACCTGGTAAAGTGTATGGTAGAGTTATTATTGAAAGAATTAAGAGTAAGACGGAGGTAGGGGGTGTGTGGACCAGGTGTTTACAGTGAAACATATAAGTGAACAGTATTTAGATAAGGCTAAAGAGGTCTTTGTGGCATTTATGGATTTGGAAAAGGCGTATGACAGGGTGGATAGGGGGGCAATGTGGCAGATGTTGCAAGTGTATGGTGTAGGAGGTAGGTTACTGAAAGCAGTGAAGAGTTTTTACGAGGATAGTGAGGCTCAAGTTAGAGTATGTAGGAAAGAGGGAAATTTTTTCCCAGTAAAAGTAGGCCTTAGACAAGGATGTGTGATGTCACCGTGGTTGTTTAATGTATTTATAGATGGGGTTGTAAGAGAAGTAAATGCGAGGGTCTTGGCAAGAGGCGTGGAGTTAAAAGATAAAGAATCACACACAAAGTGGGAGTTGTCACAGCTGCTCTTTGCTGATGACACTGTGCTCTTGGGAGATTCTGAAGAGAAGTTGCAGAGATTGGTGGATGAATTTGGTAGGGTGTGCAAAAGAAGAAAATTAAAGGTGAATACAGGAAAGAGTAAGGTTATGAGGATAACAAAAAGATTAGGTGATGAAAGATTGGATATCAGATTGGAGGGAGAGAGTATGGAGGAGGTGAATGTATTCAGATATTTGGGAGTGGACGTGTCAGCGGATGGGTCTATGAAAGATGAGGTGAATCATAGAATTGATGAGGGGAAAAGAGTGAGTGGTGCACTTAGGAGTCTGTGGAGACAAAGAACTTTGTCCTTGGAGGCAAAGAGGGGAATGTATGAGAGTATAGTTTTACCAACGCTCTTATATGAGTGTGAAGCATGGGTGATGAATGTTGCAGCGAGGAGAAGGCTGGAGGCAGTGGAGATGTCATGTCTGAGAGCAATGTGTGGTGTGAATATAATGCAGAGAATTCGTAGTTTGGAAGTTAGGAGGAGGTGCGGGATTACCAAAACTGTTGTCCAGAGGGCTGAGGAAGGGTTGTTGAGGTGGTTCGGACATGTAGAGAGAATGGAGCGAAACAGAATGACTTCAAGAGTGTATCAGTCTATAGTGGAAGGAAGGCGGGGTAGGGGTCGGCCTAGGAAAGGTTGGAGAGAGGGGGTAAGGAGGTTTTGTGTGCGAGGGGCTTGGACTTCCAGCAGGCATGCGTGAGCGTGTTTGATAGGAGTGAATGGAGACAAATGGTTTTTAATACTTGACGTGCTGTTGGAGTGTGAGCAAAGTAACATTTATGAAGGGGTTCAGGGAAACCGGCAGGCCGGACTTGAGTCCTGGAGATGGGAAGTACAGTGCCTGCACTCTGAAGGAGGGGTGTTAATGTTGCAGTTTAAAAACTGTAGTGGAAAGCACCCTTCTGGCAAGACAGTGATGGAGTGAATGATGGTGAAAGTTTTTCTTTTTCGGGCCACCCTGCCTTGGTGGGAATCGGCCAGTGTGATAATAAAAATAAATAATGCGGTTATTGTGTTCAATACAGCGAGTGTATATATATACGTTATTGGTCTCACAGGCCACAAATGTTACTAGGAAAAGAAAAAAATAGAAAAGAAAAGAAAAAAGTATAAAAAACGTAAAATAAAGAAATGCGAGTTTGTGGAAATCACAGATGTTGCCGCCACCTGGTCATTTTGGGTCAACTTCTTGCCCCAGTATCTCTGTACTTTTTTTTTTTGTTTTATTACCTTCATAAAAATATACTCTTTAATTGTGTAAGAATTTTTTTTTTTTTTTTTTTTTTGGACACTGGGGCACCCCTTCAGATTTTGGCCTTGGACCCTGAAAGGGTTATAGATTGGGTCATTCAAAAGAGGCATATATACTGTACTTGAGTACAGGTCAGCCATCACTAATCTGGCATCGTTGGAACCTGTAGTGTGCGGGATTAGCGAGTTTGCCAGATTACAGTGTGGTTAGGTTAGAATAAACCTAATTAACCTATCAATAAACTGCTACATCCTTCTCATTTTCATCACTGCTTTCTCCTCCACTTCCTTGCTGCTGTGGATTTACAACCATCTGCACAATTTCTGAGTCAGTATAATGATGAAATTTGAAATTATGCTAGCCAAAATTAGTGCCAGATTACTGATGGAACCGGATAACTGACTGCCGGATTAGTGATGGCTGACCTGTATATTTAAAGTAATATAACAGCAAAAGGAGATTCCTCACTATTTTTCACATAGAATTGGCATGTGTGTCCCTTCACATTTACACTCTCTGCCTTCATCTAGGTGGGATACTCCAGTGTTCAATATTTGAAGCAAATCAGATTCTATTGAAAGTTACCAGATCCATTCTAAGAATCTTGGAATGATCTATAACACTGACTATAAGACACCTGCACTTGCCAATAGTTGCAAGAATTTTCTTGTGTGTAGTAAATCAGCATTGACAATTTGAAGCTGAGTCATAATAGTTATAAACGACCCCTTTGGTGATTAATTTATTCCAGAAAGTCTGACAAAAACTGAATTGTACAAAAATTGAAGCAATATTTCCCATATGAAATAGTGTAAATCCAGTTAAGCTGTTCCAGACACCCAAAAATATTGACAAAAAATACATTTTATAGAGAATAACTATAGTTTTACATACAGAAAACAATGAGAAATAAATATAAATGACTAATGAAATGGATAAATGAACATTTAACATTACTTTTATTGAAGACACTTGTTGGCATATAGACGATGGCAAGGAGGGGAGAGGGAGGAGGAGAGGTTATTGTTTGGAAGGGGAATCCCCCTCCATAAACACTTCAGGTATCAAGGCCCTTTCCGGGGTTACTTCCCTTCTTTGTCTTTTACTGGCACTAGGACCAGCTTGAGTCACTGGACCCCTACCGCACAAAAAATTTGTCCAGAGAGGTCTGTTGAAGATTTGCCTAAAATGGGACAAGGCATTGTCATTGAACATGTTACAGACATGGCGTGCAACAGCTTTGTTAGGGTGATATTTCTCCACTAAACTTTGCAACTCATTCCACTTTGCACACATGTCCTGGTCACTTTCGTACTTTGCTACTTTCCACTTTGCCACTTTCATACTTTGCTACGAGTTCTTTCTTGAATTCTATCATGTTTCTCGCTTTCTTTATCAAAGGGCTGGCACTCGGAATTTTCTTTGACCCCATGGTGGCTTATTTAGCAGTCGCACTCAATAAACAAGCATCAAAACAATGGATTATTACGAAATGTTATCTGAACGTGCAAGGTAATGTTCACTCAATGAGAAACAAAGCCAGACTGAGTCAGAACGTGTGGGATGCTTTGTGTGGGCACGGGCAGGTGGACGTGTTTGATAGGACGGACCATTCTCAACTCCACGAAAACTGGGACAAAATTTAGACGAAAAAAGTTGTTGAAAACTGAATCGTGTGAAAACCAGGGCATACGATAACCAAGGTTCCACTGTATCTCCAAAGGGGTCGTTTATAACTTCATTATGACTCAGCTTCACATTGTCAATGCTGATTTATGTACAGTACTGAAATTGCAGTATTTCACAGGTGCTTTTAACAAGAAAAAAAAAAGTCATAAATGCAAGGAAAGGTGGGGAGGAAGTCAGAGGTGGCCAGTACCCCTTAAGTGAACCCTTATTTTTTTATGTTCTTGATTTTTTAATACAGGAGCTAGAACTAAGTGCTGATACCTTCACCACTCTGATATCCAAACCAATGCAGTGATATCCAAACCAGTGTACAAATCCTGACTTGATATTTTGATTACCGTCCTGCAGTTGAGTCCTTGTCACCTGTGATACTAAGACGTTATGTTTGGCAGAAAGGCATCTGGAAATTGAGTATTGGTCTTTAATATTGCTTCTGTAAATATAAGCATGAAACTTTTTTTTTTTTTTTTGTACCAGGTACCTGTTGGGGAAAAAACCGAGTCTCTTATTCTGGCATTCTGTGAGAAGCTTGCCAAGGCACCTTCCAACAGATTAGGACATGTCTGCTTAAGAGTGTAAGTTTTATTTTCTGATAAAATACATTTGTGTTTTCCTGTAAGAAGTGATAATCTGCTTATTTCATTAGATCTCTAACCACAAAATTTCAGAACAGTATTTTCATTCTATTCATTTTGTAAAAGCCATTTTTTCTGTACCAACTCCTCTGTACTAATCCCTGTTTAATATACATTCTGTATGATGACTCCCAGAATATTTTTACATTAAAATTCTAAAAGTTACTTTCCTCTCATTTATCATTGTTGACTAGCATATTTATCAGTGGTAAACAATTGTAATTTGTAATAGGTAAATTCACTGATTTTTGAAACTGAGCTCTCCACTTGCATTAACAAGTTTTGACCTGCCATTTGTTTTAAGACTTCAGAAATACAGGATGATATCTGCTGGGTCAGTTGATTTGGAAACAGTGGACAATCTATTAGTTATCAGCTTTTGTTAGTCACAGCAGAACAACCTCATCTCTGTCCACCAGTCACCATTACCTGTCTGCTTCCTCCTATTAGTGCATTTAATTGAGGGTTTACTTAGTTTACTTTAGACAAAAGTTTTGTCACTATGAGAAAGTGACAAAAAAACAGGTAATTTTTTTTTATAAATACACTACATAGAATATATACATAAAGAATAAAAAGTAACAGTACTGTGGCTGGGACAGTGTAAAATATTAGACAGGGTAGGGGTAGGCCTAGGAAAGGTTAGGGGGAGGGGGTGTAGGAGGTTTTGTGTGCAAGGGGCTTGGCCTGCCAGCAAGCATGTGTGAGTGTGTTAGATAGGAGCGAATGGAGACAAATGGTTTTGAGGACTTGACGGGCTGTTGGAGTGTGAGCAAGGTAACATTTATGAAGGGATTCAGGGAAACTGGCAGGCCGGACTTGAGTCCTGGAGATGGGAAGTACAGTGTCTGCACTCTGAAGGAGGGGTGTTAATGTTGCAGTTTTATAACTGTAGTGTAAGTGCACCTCTGGCAAGACAGTGATGGAGTGAATGATTGTGAAAGTTTTTCATTTTTGGGCTACCCTGACTTGGTGGGAGACGGCCAATGTGTTAATAAAAAAAATAATAATTTACACACAGAAAAGATTCACCTAAAATGCAATGCAAATCATGGAAAACTCATATTAAATACAACAATTGTTGATTATGCTGAACACTATGATCACATAAACTTGTAACATGAGGACTTTGATTACCAAACATGTGTTTGAATGTGTTTTGATATGGCATTTACTTTATAGTGAATCTGACCTCTAATGCCTATATTGCCTGAGAATGACGGAACCATGAGAAAAAATTAGTTGGTATATGGACTAGAGATCTTGGTAGCCTTAGTTCTTTGGTAATGAGATTTCCTTGAGTAATCCATGGATTACATCACCATTTTGAAGATCCTGTATTTGCTGTGAATCTGCATTCATTGTTAATATTACTTTCCTTCAGGTTGAATCTCTTGTTTCACGCTTTGCCAGAGAATCTTGGAGTGCGCTATCATGTTTACTACACAATGGTGCAAGTGTCTGGTCAAATTGGACAGATCCAGGCAGTATATCAGTCTGCAGAAAAGATGCGCTGCACACTCAACACTGCCCAGCCACCTCCATCTACTGAACAGATGCAGCAGCTGCTTCGTTTGTTGCATCAGACACTCCTTGCCAACAAAATTAGGTGATATTTTGTATTAAAATATTTTCTTGTTGTACAAATAATTTTTTGTACATTTCTGTAGATTTGAAATGTTAATGCTAGAAATTATTTATGATTTTTGTAGTATATACAGTGGACTCCCGCCTTACGAACGCATCGCGTTATGTTAAATCCGCCATACAAAGCATTTAAATGCAAAAATTTTGCCTCGCCTCACAATAAAAAACTCACCTTACATGATTCGTCCAGGACGCGTCCCACGTGTGGCCTCAGCGCCAGTGTTTACAAGCCAGCCAGTGCAGTCGTATCTATGCATATATTCGGTACATTTCACATTATCCCAGTGTTTTTAGTGCTTGTAACTGCAAAATAAGTCACCATGGACCCCAAGAAAGCTTCTAGTGCCATCCCTGTGGTAAAAAGGGCGAGAATTAGTATGGAATTGAAAAAAGAGATTATGGAAATGTGTGCAAAGTGGTTTGAACTGTAAACCTTTACGGATGAAAATCACCCTGACACAGCTACTGCAAGCCGTGTTGGCAACCTGTACAATGACAATGTTATGGCCCATTTTAGTAAAGTCTTAAAGGAACGGGAGGTACAGAGCTCTATGGACAGATTTGTTGTGCGACACAGGTCCAGTGACTCTCAAGCTGGTCCTTTATTTTTTTTTTTTATCACACTGGCCGATTCCCACCAAGGCAGGGTGGCCCGAAAAAGAAAAACTTTCACCATCATTCACTCCATCACTGTCTTGCCAGAAGGGTGCTTTACACTACAGTTTTTAAACTGCAACCTTAACACCCCTCCTTCAGAGTGCAGGCACTGTACTTCCCATCTCCAGGACTGAAGTCCGGCCTGCCGGTTTCCCTGAATCCCTTCATAAATGTTACTTTGCTCACACTCCAACAGCACGTCAAGTATTAAAAACCATTTGTCTCCATTCACTCCTATCAAACACGCTCACGCATGCCTGCTGGAAGTCCAAGCCCCTCGCACACAAAACCTCCTTTACCCCCTCCCTCCAACCCTTCCTAGGCCGACCCCTACCCCGCCTTCCTTCCACTACAGACTGATACACTCTTGAAGTCATTCTGTTTCGCTCCATTCTCTCTACATGTCCGAACCACCTCAACAACCCTTCCTCAGCCCTCTGGACAACAGTTTTGGTAATCCCGCACCTCCTCCTAACTTCCAAACTACGAATTCTCTGCATTATATTCACACCACACATTGCCCTCAGACATGATATCTCCACTGCCTCCAGCCTCTCCTCGCTGCAACATTCATCACCCACGCTTCACACCCATATAAGAGCGTTGGTAAAACTATACTCTCATACATTCCCCTCTTTGCCTCTAAGGACAAAGTTCTTTGTCTCCACAGACTCCTAAGTGCACCACTCACTCTTTTTCCCTCATCAATTCTATGATTCACCTCATCTTTCATAGACCCATCCGCTGACACGTCCACTCCCAAATATCTGAATACGTTCACCTCCTCCATACTCTCTCCCTCCAATCTGATATTCAATCTTTCATCACCTAATCTTTTTGTTATCCTCATAACCTTACTCTTTCCTGTATTCAAGCTGGTCCTAGTGGCATTAAAAGAAGGGAAGTAACCCCGGAAAATTACTTGCTACCTCAAGCCCTAATGGAAGGGGATTCCCCTTCTAAACAACAACTTCCACACACTCCCCTCCTCCCATCCCATCAATCACCACCAGATCTTCAATAAAGGTAAGTGTCATGTATTCTATTCTTAGTAGAGTAGTAATTGCGCATGTCTTTAGTTTATGTGTATTAAAATTAATATTTGGGGTGTCAGGAACAGATTAATTTGATTTCCATTATTTCTTATGGGGAAAATTAATTCGGCTAACGATAATTTCGGCTTACGATGAGCTCTCAGGAACGGATTAATATCGTAAGGCGGGGGTCCACTGTATTAGTAAAAATTAGCAGTTATGCGAGTCAGCACCTTTGATCTTTTTATTGTTTAAATCCTAAGAATTAAAAAAATATTTATGATTTTTAATTAACTTGTTTTAAAAGTTTATTAAAATGTTTAATATTTACTTTTAGTGAGGATGCAAGTAAAGTAATGATAGAATTGCTGGGCACTTATACGACGGAGAATGCATCGCAGGCACGTGAAGACGCTCATCGGTGTATAATTGCTTCCCTTGCCGACCCTACGACATACATTATGGATCATCTACTTACACTTAAGGTATAACCATAACATTTTTTGCAGCTGTGTAAAAATACAGCACCGTAATAGTTATGGCCTTGCATTTTTGGAGTGTAGTGTGTGGCTTCCATTCCCCTATCCCATCCTTTAAATCTCTGTTATTATCATGTACATGCTTCACAAAAACCATGTGGGCCATTAGTGCAAGATGTGGAGGCTCGATCTTTTATTTACTAATCATGAGACAAACATGATGCTCAGTTTGGGTTTAGGCCGAGAAAAGGCACGAATGATGCAATAATTCAGATGCTCGAATTACTATACAGTAGGGCCCCACTTATATGGCAGGTTAGGTTCCAGGCTACCGCCATAAAGCAGAAATCGCCGTAAAGTGGAACACCCTTTTTTTTCCACTTATAAATGCATACAAATACTAGATAAGTTTACACTAACAATAGCAATAGAACTAGGCATTAAAAAACAATAAAAAAGTAAAATACACATATAGTACACTCATTACTTACCTTAAAATATTTGTAGTCTTAATGTAGGGCGAGATGAGTAGTATTTATTGTAAGAAATCAGGTGTGGTATGTATGGTAGCCAGCCAGGCTACCATACCAGGCCACCCCACCTACACATAATATTCTATGACATTTAAGCATCCCAGAGCAATAAAATGCATATACAGTTCACTCATTACTTAAAATATTTCTAGTCTTAATCTAGGGTGAGACTAGTAGTATTTATTGTAAGAAATCAAGTGTGGTATGTAGGGTAGCCAGCCAGGCTACCATATCAGGCCATTCCACCCACACATAATATTCTATGACATTTAAGCATCCCAGAGTGATAAAATGCGTATACAGTTCACTCATTACTTAAAATATTTTTAGTCTTAGTGTAGGGTCAAGGGTGAGTAAAGAGATAAAACGAATAACTAAGAGAGAGAGAATGAGTATACGTGGGAGGACAGGTGCAGAGTTATGTAAACAAACCAGGCGACCGCAAGTTTTGTAAACAAACCAGGTGTACACATTTGGTTTGTGTACAAGTTACATTGTGTACAAGTTGTCTCTACATTGATGTGGTAGAATAAATAAAGAGGAACACTTCCATTCTCATGTAACACCATTTTTAGAAGAAATGACGCTCTGAGTGAAGGCATTGGAAATAAGTCACTCTGTCTGACTTTTTTTTTGGGTTATCCTAGATACTTCACACATATGCTGCTATGTATGATAATCTATGTAATTGTATTTGTGTGTACCTGAATAAACTTACATACGAAAGGAATAATTTTCTACAGTTACCCCCAGTAACACATTTTCTCTTATGTTGGACTAGAGAAAATGTTAATTCTTGCCATCACTTGTACAAGTTGTCTGGCAACCACATCTCATATTTGTTTGTTTATTCTACTGTGGGGTGTATTTATCATCTTTATATGTTATGTATCGTGTTTATTATATAATTTTGAAAAAATATCATAGATGGATTAATGAAAATATATATATTATGAGGATAGTGAGGCTCAGGTTAGGGTGTGTAGAAGAGAGGGAGACTACTTCCCGGTAAAAGTAGGTCTTAGACAGGGATGTGTAATGTCACCATGGTTGTTTAATATATTTATAGATGGGGTTGTAAAAGTAGTAAATGCTAGGGTGTTCGGGAGAGGGGTGGGATTAACCCTTTGACTGTCGCAACCCCCAATCCTGAGGTGTCTCCTGGTGTCGCAAAATTTAAAAAAAAAAAAAAATATTTTTTCTTGTGAAATGATAGAGAATCTTTTCTCGATTGTAATGATACCAAAAACATGAAATTTGATGGAAAACTGATGGAATTACGCTCTCGCGAAGTTAGCGACCTCAGTGATATTTACAAATCGGCGATTTCACCCACTTTGAGCTCTATTTTCGGCTAATTCCATTGTTCCAGTTGACCAAACTCATAGCTATTTCTTTTGAACTCCGTTTTTTCTATCTATTGAGTACAAGAAACTGCCCATTTACCGATTTCAACTACCCAATAACGTGGTCAGAAATTTGCAATTTGGCCAATTTCACGAAAATTAAAAATATGACAATTTCAAAATAAGGTCCAGAATGAACAATGCAGACATTCCTGGCTCTAAAATGACATTTTCTTCGTTCATCAGTCACGTCTCCAGGCCCCTCTGATATTACTCTTGCTTTCTATTTTGAATTTTTATTCAAACAAAAAATAGAAGATTTACTGTTATGCAGACTACTGCAATACTGTAATAATTGTATAAATAACATTAACCCATTCATGACTGCATATTAGAATGGCTAGTTGGACACTTATTAGACAATGGCATCATTTGTTTACTTTTGAACTTCGGCAAAAATCAAACATTTAACCTACTTTGAGCTCCATTTCCAGGTTCTTTTTATAGTAAAATCAATAAAAATCATCTCTATTTCTATAATATGTTTTCCATTCTATCAAATGAGACCAAGAAAATGAGAATACAACCATAAATACTATATGAAAATAGACCACAAAGTCGGCATTTTAATTAAAAATGGTCAGTTTTTTTTTCTCGTTATGCACTGCGTGCTCCAGGATTTTTTTTATATGGTGCACACTGACCACACAGACCCATTCTCTCACATGTGGGCCTACCAGCTTTCTCCTGCTTGATTTGAAGCCGCTAGAATTTATGAGTATATATACGTCAAACACTGTACCTCGTAGACGTGTATATACGACCGCGACAGTCAAAGGGTTAAATTATGGGGAATTAAATACAAAATGGGAAGTGACAGTTACTTTTTGCTGATGATACTGTGCTTATGGGTGGTTCTAAAGAAAAATTGCAAAGGTTGGTGGACGAATTTGGGAATGTGTGTAAAGGTAGAAACTTGAAAGTGAACATAGAAAAGAGTAAGGTGATGAGAGTATCAAATGATTTAGATAAAGAAAAACTGGATATCAAATTGGGGAGGAGTATGGAAGAAGTGAATGTTTTCAGATATTTGGGAGTTGACATGTCAGCGGATGGATTTATGAAGGATGGGGTTAATCATAGAATTGATGAAGAAAAAAATGTGAGTGGTGCATTGAGGTATATGTGAAGGCAAAAAATGTTATCTATGGAGGCAAAGAAGGGAATGTATGAAAGTACAGTGGACCCCCGCATACCGTTGGCATCACACAACGTTAAATCCACATAGCGATACATTTTATCACTAAAATTTTGCCTCACATAGCGCTAAAAAACTCGCTCAGCGCTATTCGTCCGAGATGCGTCTATGTGAAGCCTGAGCCAGCCTCGCATGTTCCGCCAGTGGCATTGTTTACAAGCCAGCCTCCGCGGTAACATCCAAGCATACAGTCGGAACATTTCGTATTATTACAGCGTTTTTGGTGATTTTTATCTGCAAAATAAGTGACCATGGGCCCCAAGAAAGCTTCTAGGGCCAACCCTGTGGTAAAAAGGGTGAGAAATATTATCGAAATACTGTGGTACCATGGTCAACTGCTGCTGCTGCTGCTGTAGCACTGTCAGCTGCTGCTGCTGTAGCACCGTCAGCTGCTGCTGCTGCTGTAGTACCGTCTGCTGCTGCTGTAGCACCGTCTGCTGCTGCTGTAGCACCGTCTGCTGCTGCTGTAGCACTGTCAGCTGCTGCTGTAGCACTGTCAGCTGCTGCTGCTGTAGCACTGTCAGCTGCTGCTGCTGTATTACTGTCAGCTGCTGCTGCTGCTGTAGCACCGTCAGCTGCTGCTGCTGTAGCACCGTCAGCTGCTGCTGCTGTACCACCGTCAGCTGCTGCTGCTGCTGCTGTAGTACCGTCTGCTGCTGCTGTAGCACCGTCTGCTGCTGCTGTAGCACTGTAAGCTGCTGCTGTAGCACTGTCAGCTGCTGTTGCTGCTGCTGCTGCTGCTGTAGCACCATTGTTGGTGTGGCTTATTGAGAATACCAAGAAACAATTAACCCCAGAGGGTTAGCCACCCAGGATAACCCTACAGCTGCTGCTGTAGCACCGTCTGCTGCTGCTGTAGCACTGTCAGCTGCTGCTGCTGTATTACTGTCAGCTGCTGCTGCTGCTGTAGCACCGTCAGCTGCTGCTGCTGCTGTAGCACCGTCAGCTGCTGCTGCTGTAGCACCGTCAGCTGCTGCTGCTGTACCACCGTCAGCTGCTGCTGCTGCTGCTGTAGTACCGTCTGCTGCTGCTGTAGCACCGTCTGCTGCTGCTGTAGCACTGTAAGCTGCTGCTGTAGCACTGTCAGCTTCTGTTGCTGCTGCTGCTGCTGCTGTAGCACCATTGTTGGTGTGGCTTATTGAGAATACCAAGAAACAATTAACCCCAGAGGGTTAGCCACCCAGGATAACCCAAAAAAGTCAGTGTCATCGAAGACTGTCTAACTTATTTCCATTGGGGTCCTTAATCTTGTCTCCCAGGATGCAACCCACACCAGTCGACTAACACCCAGGTGAACAGGGAAAAATGCCTGGAACTAGTGCTCATATTGGTGAATTTAAAGCCAACAAAGGTTGGTTTGAGAGATTTAAGAATCGTAGTGGCATACACAGTGTGATAAGGCCTGTTCTGGAAGAAAATGCCAAACAGGACCTACAGTACTCAGGAGGAAAAGGCACTCCCAGGACACAGTGTCTCATCGGTCATTGCTGCATCTTCAATAAAGGTAAGTGTCATTTATTCTTCATTTAGTAGAGTAGTACATGCAAAATATATATTGTGCATGTACTACTCTACTATTGTGCATGTATCCTTCTCTTTGTGTGTAGGAAAATGTATATTTCATGTGGTAAAATTTTTTTTTTCATACTTTTGGGTGTCTTGCACGGATTAATTTGATTTCCATTATTTCTTATGGGGAAAATTCATTTGCATAACGATAATTTCGCATAACAATGAGCTCTCAGGAACGGATTAATATCGTTATGCGGGGGTCCACTGTATAGTAGTACCAACACTCTTATATGGGTGTGAAGCTTGGGTTGTAAATGCTGCAGCGAGGAGGCGGTTGGAGGCAGTGGAGATGTCCTG